ACTGCTTTACAGTACTTTACAGCCAAGCAGTTTTCAGAGTCAGCCTATTGCACCCAACCATTGGGCTCCTCCTTTTACTGACCTCGGAAGGATGGACGGCTTAGTCCACCTTGAGCCTGGTGAGATTTGAACTGCCAAATTGCAGGCAGCCGGCAGTCGGCAGCAGGAGCTTGCAGTACTGCCCTCTTAACCACACCACCACTATGACTTTTGCAATGTGACTCTCCCACACCTTTGACCAGTTGCCTGTGGCCCACGGTGCCAAGCAGAGGACTTCGCGGTTGCAAGCAGCTGTGGCCTCTGGCTTGGTGAGAAGTTGGCACTTGTCAGGTGGAAGAGCCTGCTGTTCATCCAAGGCCACACTCTGAATACAGAGGACAGTCCTTTTCGTCAGTCCAGAGTCACCACAGGTGGCCGAACATGCCTGCCACTCACCAGCCCACCACCTGTGGAAACACACAGAATGAAAGGTTAGGTCACCACGAGATCCACCCTGGACCCATACCGGACCTCTTGCCACATCCTGGGCTGTTCCACTTTAGACCGAGTGCCTGAACGTGTCCCCAAGAGGCCAGGTGGCGGCGTGGCCTTTTGCTGTGTGAGACCGCTGCTTCTACGGCTGGCTTCTTCACGGAGGTGACCTCTGGAGCCATAGAGGCCCAGCCTCGTGTTACGGCTGAGCCCCAGGTTCTGCAGCATTGGCCAAGCAGCATTCTTCTCCCAGACATTGATTTTCCGGCAGAAGTTTTCTTTTCAGCTGTGGAGCATCCTACATTTTGAATAGCTTTGGGTTGGCCCAAGAGCTGACCTGGCTGGACAGGGGTCCTTGTTGCAATTCCTTCGCTTGTCATCAGGCCGGCTGAGAGCATCGCAGTGCTGCTCCTCCACAAAGCCAGCGGCTTTCTCAAGGCAACGCACCATCTGTCTCTGGACCCCTGAGGGCAGGAGGAGAAAGTGCTTAGATCAGAGGTCTCCAAACTTGGCAACTTTTAAGACTTGTGGACTTCAACTCCAAGAATTCTGGGAGCTGAAGTCCACAAGTCTTAAAAGTTGCCAAGTTTGGGGGAAACCCCTCCCCCCCGGCTTAGGTAGAGGGAGGGACTGGATCCTTTTGTCCAGCTTGTAAACAGATTTACTGCAAAATAAACCCATTACATTCAAGTTGGACTTAAGTCTTCCACAAAGCACACAAGGAACAATCTGTGAATAAATGCCTGTTCAGGGCCCAAAGCCAGCGTGAACCTGTCAGGGGATATTCATGAACTGGAATAGAGCCTGGTAACAAGGTCACCCAATGAATAGGCATAGCAATTAAGTCAGCCAAGGAGGACTGTTTGGAAACTGAAACTAGAAGTAGCCTAGGCGTGGCTCTATATTAAGCTCTGCAGCTATGTTGAGCTTTGAAGATGGAACGGCTTCTCTCTTCTGCTTGCCTGCTGAACTAAAGTGAAACTGGAGCTCTGCTCTGACCTTGCAATATGTTTCTGTCTCAGTTGGTGCTCCATGTTGGAGAAATCTACAGCTGGTTTGTAAAATCTACTTATTATGTTTATAAAGAGGTTAAATGAAGCATCAGCCATCTGTGTTTATTTTTCTGGCGCTGAATTAACGCTGCAAAAACTCTGAATAGAACCTTAGATTTCTGAAGTGTACTTAGGATCTCGCCAAAGGAATCAGCTGCCACCGTCTCTTTGCTGGCCACCAACAAGCCCACTTCCCAACCCAGACCCTTGGCCAAGCCCTGCCCTGCTTGCTGCCACTGAGCACAGCTGCTTCACTGACTGGGAAAAGTGACCACGGGGCGCCAGCTCTGCTGCCCGCTGCCACCTAATCCTGGATAAATGCCTCTCCTTCCACCAAGGCTTTGCAAGGGCAGCCAAAACACACACACACTTCCCTAGGGATGGAGAGCGCACGTTGGCCCAACGAACGGGAAAGGGGGGGGGGGGGGGGGGGGGGTCATGATGCCGGAGAATCCCCAGTAGGGAGGCAACTAGCCAAATTCTGATGTATTTTTGGCAGCTCTTACTGCTGGCAGGAAATGTTAAAAAAAACCTGCTTGGCTGGCAAACATCCCCTCTCAGCTCCGTTCAGCTAGTGAAGAAGCAGTTAGGTCAGTGTTCATTAGCCCCCATTGGCCTGTCTTTGTCCTGGGTCAAAAATGTGCGTCCATTTCCTTTCTAGAAGGTGCAAACGGCTACTCCTAGTCCTGAGAAGCTACAAACACTTTCGAGTCGTTTCTCTCGGCCTTCGTAGCACCACTGCTGGCTTCGAGGACCAAGTCTCCAGCTGAACCGCTGCAGCCTCTGCCAGCTCTTCCTCGGGGCCCAAACGCTGTGCCTCTCAAGGGGGTGGGGGGAGCCACAGGGTCTTGGCCAGACCGTGTCCACCCCCCCCCCACCAAAGGCTTTGCATCTCTAAGGACACTCGGCTTGCGCTCTGCACGTGGGCCCAGATCTCAGCTTCATGGGACACGGCACCCAGGCCCTCCCCACCTTCTGCGACCCCAGAGGACGTCCACGAGGGACTGCGTGGAGGCGAGGAACAAGGTGGCACCCCGGGAGTGAATCCCTTGTTCAGCTTCCCTCCAGCCGTCCACACCATCCCCAGGAGGAGCGCAGGACAGCTGGCCCCTTGCCAGAGTGCCTGCCTGGGGGGTGGATCCAGGTGAGCCCCATGCTTCAAGGAAGAGGCCTCCAGGAGAACTCCGGTAGGGCCACGGGTCAATCCCAGGTCCATGCTGCTGAGAGCAGCCTTATCAAACCGCCCGAAGTCGGTGGCCCTACAAGCCATTTCAAATGTCAGTGGGGATTCTCGGTCCTCCTGGTCTTGGCTGTCCCAAAGCTCCTTTTTCGAAAGGCAGCTGGATTTCCTTGGTTTTTCCTTGAGGCTGTTTGGCTGCTTCAAGTGAAGCATCTTCAAGGGAAAACCAAGAAAACCCAGCTGCCTTCTGAAAAAACACATCCCAGAAGACAGCAAGGGCACCTTTCCTGCACCACCGAGAAACAACGAAGGGTGATCCCTGTAAGCAACAGGGGTCTTTGGATAAAAAGCCCCCCCCCACCAAAAAAAAACAAACGAAAGAGGGAAACCCACAACTGACAAGCACAACTAGCTGCCAAGTCCCAGAAAGCACCGGGGTTCAGGTCTTTCCCCCACAAACCTCTGTTGGTTGTAGCTTTGCCTTATGGAACTCGGGATGAAGCCTTCCAATAGACGCGTCTCAGCGTTCTGCTCAGCTGCAGGTAGAGGAACTTTCGGCGCCATTTGGTCCCCCCGTCTGGTCTCCCTGGGGTCAGCCGATTGCCCAGAAAGCCACCATCCACCACCACCACATAACGGTCAGAGGCAGCCCCTCCCCCTCAAGGCTGAAAGCGCTGACCACCCCATCCCACCCCCAGGACTTGCAGGAATCGGATCCAACCCTTTTGGCGGCAACACAAGTAGTGAATTCCAATGCTGAATTTAAAAGTTGTGTAAAATATATATATATACATCCCTTTCTCCTGATTCTTTCAGGATTCAATTTGATTGGTTGCAGTATTTTGGGAAGGGGAGAACAGCTTCTCCTTGCCTATTCTATCCACATCGTGCATAATTATATATATATACTTGAATCATTTCCCCTTTCAGCTGCCTTGTTTCTAGATTAAACAGCTTTTCTTAAACCTTTCCAACCCCTGGGTCACCTTAGCTGCGCTCCTCAGAACCTTCCTTAGTTCCACTCTGTCCTTTTTGAGTTGTGTGACCAAAACGGCACACAGTGTTCCAGGTGGAGTCGCACCATCAGTTTGTATCACGGCATTGTGACACGCGTCTTCTTGTTGCCCTTTTTCACACACCCTGTCAACCCCTCAGTTGAATTCTACCACCGAGATCCAAGATCTCTTTCTCTATCAGTCCCTGGTCAGACCCCACTTGTGAGTGTGCGGCTTTTCCCCAAGGATGCATCTGCGCATGAAAATCAGTAAAGCCTCCTGACCTGCCGTTTGAGGTCAGCTAACTCCCCTCCACGGCTTGCTTCTCCCACCCACCTTCTGGCCCTCCGAAGGCCACAGCGGCCTGTCCGATGACCCTGCAGATGGGAGCGTCTGAAGCAAAAACACAGAGCTGTTTGCCAACCTCTTGCTGTCAGAGCCTCCTACGCAAACAGTTGAAACAGGACGATGTATTGGCAGGCTCCAAGGAACGGAGAAGCCATGTGTTCTCTACACCAAGCCCCCACTTCTGGACCCAAACCAACTGAACTAACTCTTCAATTACCAGGAGGCTGGAGTTTCCTACGAGTACAGAAAAGTCCAGAGGAAACAGCCAGGGGGTGCCGAGGACGGAGCATCTCTCCCCGGGCATCTGACTGTCTTTCTCGGTTTGCCTCGTGATCTCCCCTGGCAGACAATGAAGGCCCACGAGGCTAGAAAACCCCGAGGAATGGCTGGTCCCAATCATGAACTGAGGGTTGCCAAATACTTCCTCTTCCATCCTCGTCATCGCAGCTACCTTCATCGTTAGCCTTCCTCCCCAGCAGAAGAAATGAGAAGAAGAACCCCACATCAGACACGGGGCTGCACCCCATCAGGCAGCAGCCGAAGCCACCTGGGCAGGACCTCGGAGCCTCGGCCTCGGCCTCACCCTTCCTGCCCTGCAGTGTTTCTGGAGGCAACCCTGTTGGTCTTAAGGCTTCCTGCACCGTCTCATGAGGTTTGACTAGTCTGGTGCCTCAAAAGCAGACCCTGTATTGTCAGAAGCTCCTGATCCCGAGGGTTCTTTTAAGAAAAGCATTTGCAGTGCAGGATGCTGGCTCCCCTGGGCCCCTTCAACACACACACACACACACACACACACACACACACACACACACACAGAGTTTTCTGGGCTGCCCCAATGCAAGAGCCAGTCCACTTGGATTTGCAGCTAGACAGTTGCTGCTACTGCTCAGGCCACCGAGAAAGCAAGCTTGCTGCCCAGCAGGCAAGTCCTCACCTGTCCCACAGGTAGCTGTGCATTTTGTCCAGGGTCCATAGTGCCAGAAGAACTCAGGGGGAGCAACCAAACTCTGATTCTTGGTCTCCTGCTGGATGGTGTACTGATAGCGGACACCCGGGTTCTTCTCTTGAAACAGGAGCTGAGGCCAAGCAGAAACACACGTTGAGCCAAGACAGGGGTCCCCAAACTTGGCAACTTAAAGACTGGTGGACTTCAACTCCCAGAATTCTCCAGCCAGCATGGGAGTCTTCCAGTCACGTGAGCTCAGGAATTCTGGGAGTTGAAGTCCACCAGTCTTTAAGTTGCCAAGTTTGGAGACCCCTGAACTACAGTGAAGCCACACATGGACTTGACTTTAGAGCGGGCGGGGGGGGGGAGGGACCAGGAGGGCTAGAAGGAGGCAGGCTCCCATTCGGGGGAAGCCCTTTCCACGGTGGTGGGATTCAAATATTTTTGCCACCAGTTCGGTGGGCGTGGCTTGGTGGGCGCGTTTTGCACGTGTGCACACACTTTGCATGCACGCATGTGCCAAACGCGCACTTTACGCAGGCGCAGAGGCCTTCTAACCCGCCTCCTGCAAGCCTGCACGATCCCAGGCGCTTTAGCAGCTGCCACACGACACTCTTCGGTGCCACGCAAAGCAGCTGCGCTTCAAATTCAGAGGATAAAGGTGAGTCTGGGAGCCCAGGCAGGCAGGTGGGCCCAAGAGCAGAGCGGTGGAGAAAAACCGGTTCTGTCTCTGCTGCTTATCGCTCCTACCGGCTTGCCAGAACCGGGCCGAACCGGTTGAATACCACCACTGCCTTTCCAGCTCCGAAGGAATATTGGGGTGTACTTTTCACATTTGTCCTCCCCATTGAACAGTCTTCACAAGAAGACCTGCTTTATTGAAGACAAGCTCTAGAAACAGGATCTTGCAAGCCGGGTTGTGTTTTTCCTCCCTTCCTTATTTACTCCACTGAGCCAGGAAGGAATTAGCTTGAGCCTCTTCCCTTCCAGAGAGGCTCCCGGTGGTTTGTGTGAGGATGCCTCATTCTTTCCCTCCACGCCTCTCTACACAACGTACAAGAGGCCTCCCCAAAACACCGGGCATGACCTAATCCCATGAACTAATGCCCCTTCCAATTTCCAAAGGAGCGGGGGATGTGCTCCTTTGACCAGTGAGGTATTTTCCACAAGATAAACATAGATCTGACTCTTCCTGAGCGGGAGGAAAGGGGAGGGAAGCTTGTTCCAAGGTTCTTCACAGCCAGTCAAATCCCCGTCCAGGAAGTGGGGAAGCTGGGAAGGACGGAGGCTAGCAGGGTTCAGCTCTTGCTGGTGGGTCTCAGGGGGATTTGAGCTCCACCTTCGGGCTCCTTTCGGAGTCCTTGGGCAACAGCAGGACTAGCTACATGGGTGGAAGGGATCTGACCAGCACCCAGGATGGTCTCTGCAATCGCCCCCTTTGTTCTGGATCCCACAAGTGGCAGAGGAACAGTGGCCAGAAGAGGAACGTGGTTCCTTGGCTGGAAGGCAACACGCTCCAAGCAGACTCCTCCCAGGGAGGTTTAAAAAGTCCCCCGATTCATTAAACCCAGGCCTTCCTTCCCTCCAAACCGAGAGTGTTGATTGATTTTAAAATCAACCCCCAGGTAGCATCCTGGATGAATGAGGTTTATTATCATCAGGGTCTCAGAGTGGTCCCCACATTGACATCGGTGATTGGGAAAGACCCAAGCTCTGTTTTCACTGGCAGAGGCACCACAGGGTGGACCTTCACCGTTTCCAGGGCGGCCTCGCAAGCCGTATCTAAGCAACTTGTGGGCCTTCAGTTTGACACCCCGGATGTAGAGCAAGCAGAAGAAACCGCCGCCAACCGCTCCTCATCTCTCAGCATGAAGAGCCACTTCGGCTTTACCCGCGTGGCCTGCAAACAAACAGCCTTGCCCAAGCGGGGACCTACAGATGGAGTTTGCTGCCCTCCAGCACCCCAGCCGCCATTTCTGCCTACCTGAATCCAAACCGGTTCTTCTGTGGGCCCAGGAGAGGTCAGGTTTTCCCAATTCCCCATTCTCTTGTAGGTGAAGGTGGTCCCAGCCACCTTGTAGTCCCCATTCCACTGGATGGTCCAGCCCCCGTTCAGAAAGTATTTCTTGGGGTCTTCACTTCTCAAAGCCAGGAAGTTCTCTGCTTCGGCCACCTCCTCGATCTGGATCTCACGTGCTCCGGCCGGGATCAGGCCAACATCGACGTAACCTGTTGGGATGTTGAATGCTTGTCACCAGCAGGCAACATCGCAAAGTTCTCGCTTTCTCTGACGGCTGCGCAGGGAGCCCCGCTGAATGTCTCCCGCCTGTCTAGCCCAAAGGGAAACGGCTCTCAAGGCAGCCAAACCACCCCTGGAAAAAGATGCAGAGCTACTTTCCCCGGAGCTTGCAAGAGGCCAGGAAATCCCCCAAAGGAAGACACGCAAGCCTTCATTTCGTGGGAAGCCACAGCCTCGCCACTTCCATGAGATCCACTTCCTGCTCAGATCCCTTGGGATCCCTGCGTTTCAAACGCCTCTCCCCCACATCCTCATTTGTTCTAAATCCCTTGTGTCACAGCAATTGAAACTCGGACCACACGTTTCCTGAAGGGTTTTTATCCCAGAACTATAATTGCACTTAACAACGAACTTAAAGGGCCACCGCCAGTGAACTCTTGGACAGGATTACGTGGTCTGCTGTGTGGATGCTGGTCTATTTTTTTTTAAACAAACTTTATTCATTTTACAATTAAAATAAACAACACATACACAAATGTAGAAAAGAAGAAGAGAAACAGAGTTGAGAAGTAAAAGAGAGAAGAGAGAAAAAGAAAAAAGAAGTAAAAGAAAAATCAAAAAGTGATTAAAAACAATTTCATTTTTGATAAAATTCTTTTTTTTTTTTGCTTGTGTGTTTTTAGGGGGCGGGTGGGGAGGTGTTTGGGGATTGTCACGTGTGTAGGCATGGTGAATCTGGTCTCTGGGTGTTATGTGAATTTCATTGTATGTATGCTGTGTATATACGTACAATGACAACAAAGAATTCAACTCAATATTAAGAATTCAAGAAGGTCTCAGTTTTACAGAGGAGCAAAGGATGGCAAGAATTCACAAACCGTCTCCCGCCTGCCCCAGCCTCCCCAAAATGAACGCGCACTCACCCAGCCCCTCGCTCTCCTCAAAGGTCTTCCTCACTGTCCGACAGGTGGATCCATCCCCGTGGCACACACCACACCGGTCCTCCACAGCGTAGGAGTCGATCTCATAGTCGCAACCAACGTTCTGGAAGAGATGGGAGGGCCTCCTCAGCCCCCTCTGGGAGAGACCTGGCCGGCCGGCCGGGCGTCCTGGGTGCCCCTCGAGAAACACGCGTTCCCTTGGCGGCGGCTCTTTTTGGGGCGGGAAGGAACATTCCCCCCCCCCCCCCACACCCTCGAGAGCCGCCGCCCTGCTACCCCCCCCGCAGTAGTGAACCTACTCATAGAAGCACCCCCCCCCAAGCCAAAGGCCCTCTCCAAGGACCAAAGCGGTGAACCTCCACTCTCACCTTGCCAATGATGAGCAGGGACTTTTTGTTACCTGCACAGGCGAAAAAGCCCTCCGGGCTCAGCCTTGCCTGAGGACTATCGAAAGGGGGTCCCAGAGGATTCTGTTTCAGCAGCCTGTCTGCTTGGGAAGAGCCCCCAAGGAAGGGGCGGAGCTGCCAGGCTATTGGGTTGTCCCTTGGGTCACACCCAGCCACCCCAGGCTGCCTTCTTTGCATCTCTGGGCTGATGCCTTAGGGAAAGCGAGCCCAGGTGACTCGGGGTATCACAGCAGGTGGGCAACTGGAGTAACCGAGTTACGCCAGAGGAAGCCTGTTGGGCTGACAGAACCACTGCCTTCCCTTGGAGCTCATCATGGAAGCCCATGTCACCACTCACCCTCAATATAGAGAATTTATGAACATACTACATGCATGTGTGCATGGGGGGGAGACAATACCCCCACATGCCTACCTTACAGATCCCGTTAATGCACCTGTCCCGCCTGCCATTCCCTTCGTAGCAGGGGGTTCCATCAATGGCAGCGTCATGAAGCTTTTCAGCAAAGTACTCGTTGTTGGGTCGACAATGCAGTTCGCAAGGGTTGCCTGCAGAGACAGGAGAGCGCCTGGTGGCTCAGGGTCTCTGGCCCCAGGCCCGTCAGCATGGCTTGCTCCAGTACAGAAGCTCCGATGAGGAAGAGACTCTGCGACTCCCAGAAGTGACTCCGAAGCAGTCAAGGAGACAGGTGATCTGGTGCCCACAGGCACCAGCCCAACTCTGGGTGATGGGTATGGATTTGGGCTCTTTCTTATCATAGAGTCGCAGTGTCATGCCCCTGGTGGAGACCGACTCTGAGGGAGAGGAGGAACAGCCGACAGGGAGTGGAAGTGTGGCTCCGGAGGTTGTGGAGGAGGCTGGGGAAGGGCAGAGGCCGGCTGGACAGTCAGAGGAGGACCCAGGCCCATCCCCTCTCTATCCTAGGGCACGCAGGGAGGAGAGGATAAGGGGGAGATGTGAATGGCATGGTCTATGGGAGAGGAGAGGGCCTTGATCCTCTTCATGGGCTGCAGCTGCGACAGTGATAAAAGGACGGACATGCGTATGAGCCAGTGCTGGAAACAAAGAGGAACAATAAACTTCCTCTCTGAGTTTGGTGCCCTTCCCAGTGTGTGTTCTGTTATCTGTGGACGTCCTCCAGCCCTTACCTTGCCTGGTTTGTGTTGTTTTTTACTCTTTATAATTTAAATGGCATTTCCTCCTTCTTGTAACTGCTTGTGGGGGAGTTTTTTTGTCTCCAGTCAAGGATATTTGGAGCTTGGAAGCAAAGTGAAGGAATAAAAGGGGCTTCACCTGTTTTTGTGACTGTGTTTATTTTGTATCCCACCCTGGGTCATCACACACAGGGCTGGAAGAGACATGGGTGTTTTCTAGCCCAACTCCCTGCCCAAGGAAGGGGATCATCCCAGACAGATGATTGCCCAATCTTTCCTTGAGAACCTCCAGTTATGGAGCCCTGGGAGGATGAATGGCATTCCTGATCCAGCACACAGAGTCCTCGGGAGTCTGTGGAATGAGAGCACATCCTGGAGTGTTAGTAAATCTTCTGGAAAAGGGGAGCTTTGTGACCGATTGCACCTGCAGTAAGGGCACCCTAAGAGCCACCTGGGCAACAGGTAAGTCCCATAGGGAGCCGCTGGGTAAATGTTCCCTTCCGGCGGTTACCCCAATGTACAGGCCTGTATTTCACACACCACCTCACTCTGGACAGATGCTCGAGAGCGGCTTACTGGTATTGGGGACTGGGCTCCACTTGTAAAGCTTCCCTTTGTAGGGCCGGTGGTCAAAACGGCTGCACTGGATCTGCCGAAAAGAGGGCTTGTCGGCCGGACACGGCTGTGCATTGCAGACCCTGAAGCGTTTCCGTTCTCCCAGGCAGTATTTTCCGCCATACTTGGGGCTGAGGATTGGAAAGGAAAACCAACTCATCTGCTTGAAGAAGAAACCATCCTCACCAGTCCGCCCAACTAAGCAAACTGGTGCCGATTCCCCGAAAAGGCTGAAGGCCAGAAGGGAGGCAGAGGGGAGAGGAGGCCAGCCATTGTCCCGGAGGTCAACCGTTGACCTCCCCAACTCTTTCGGGGGCACCTGGCAGCGGTTCTTGGCATTTTCTATGGCCAATAGATTCCTATCACATGCACAAGAAGAAGAAGACTTTCGGTTGGAACTCTTCTTTGCGCTCACAAGGCTGCCTTAAAGCAAGAGCAGGGAGAAGAGCCGGCTGGATAGACTGTGTCCAATGCTACAAAAAACTTCCTGTCCTGCAATATTCAGTAGGAAATGTTCGCTTGGAGAAGGGAAGGTATTGTACTCCCCAAGGGGGTCTCTGCGCCAAATGGGCTTCCTGGCGGGAACTGAACCAACCTCCCCAGGCCTCCCTCTCTCCGGCCAGTGACAGGAGCCCCTCCCCTTGAAGACAGGAGAGAGGGAATTGCTCTGGCGATGGGTGTGGGAAAGGGCGAGGCCAAGAGAAAGTAGGAATGGCCTGCAAGTTCTGCAGAGCTCTGCCAACTCTCGACTCCTCCTTCTCCTCACCAATTCTGGGTTCTGCCCACTGGAAAAAAACACAAGAATCGTACAGTTGGGAGGGACCTTATGTCCAACCTTCTGCCCAAGGCAGGAACCTCTTCTTACCATTCCAAACTAATGGCTGACCAATCTTTTCTTGGAATTCTCCAATCCCTCTGCCCTGGCACATCTCCTCCTGCACTGGAAGATCCCTCTCCTGTCTGCCCTTCTTCCCGTTCTCTTCTTCCAAGTTCCTTGAATCGTTCTTCACCAGGTGAGCTTCCAATCCCCTCACCCTCTTGGTCCTCTCTCTACATCAGAGGTCTCCAAACTTGGCCACTTTAAGACCTGTGGACTTCAACTCCCAGAATTCTCCAGCCAGCATAGCTGTGCTGGCTGGAGAATTCTGGCAAGTCTTAAAGTGGCCAAGTTTGGAGACCTCTGCTTTAAGGTTTGTTCACAAAATCTGAAGGTGACCAAGCTTAGGAAAGTCTGCTCTAATCAAGTCCAAAGTCATTGGCCAACCCCCTGGGTGGAGAATTCTGGAAGTTGAAGTCCACAAGTCTTAAGGTTGCCAAGTTTGGGGACCCCTGATCTACATTCTTCCAAATTCCTCAGCATTCTTTTTATATTGTGACAACCTGAACTGGACACACGATTCTGGGCTGGTCTGACCTGAACTATCTCCTCCCAAATCTTGACCCTAAGACCTCTGCCAGTGCCGCCCCAAAGAGCTGCACCAGCTCTTTTGAAATGGAAGCAGGAATGGGGGAAACATGCAAATCGCCCAATGTTGCTTGGGAACCAGGACAACTGGCTAGTCAAAGCATCCCATGTGGAAATATATCATTTGGATGCCAGGAAGAACCAGCCTCTGCTCCTGTGAGCTCTTGGAACCCAGCGCCACATGATTGCTGGGCATGCTCAACCTGAGGAAGGCCACCTTTGGGGCTCATGACCTTCCCCTCACTCAAAGCAAAGAGAGAGATGCCCATCAGAGGCCGAGGGGCCGAAGCGGAAAGGCAGCTGGACAGGGCAGCTGGACTCCCTTTGTGAACCCGCGTCACGGGCCGCTGGCCAGTCACTTACGCAGGATTGTTGCACGGCCGCTCTGCGTTCTGCATTCCAGCCCCACAAGTCCGGGAGCAGCCGGTCCAGGGGCTCCAGGCCGCCCACCCTCCATGGACAGGCTCTGGGCGGTACCCGATGCTCACGCACTCTCCGTTGAAGCACCACTGAAACAAGCAGAGGCCCATCAGGGACTAGGAGGTCTGGGGGGGGGAGGGGGCTCCCTGAAGGAGCAGGGCATCTTTTCCAGCTAGCTGGAAGTCTCACTCCCTCCATCAAAGACCACCAGCTGAAAGGGGGTGAGAACGCTGCGTTGGCGACCTGCAGGCCACAGTCAAGACCCGAGTGCAGCTGAGCGAGGTCCCGTCCTTCGCCCCAGTTCCTGCCAACCCAGGCAAGCAGAGGGGATAAACAGGTACCACTTGACAGGTGAGCTCATTTGGGGACATGAGAAAGGAGCCCCCAGCTGGACGTCCCCCTGGGCAACAATGATGTCACCGGTTAATCCGGAGGTCTTCAAACTTGGCAGCTTTAAGGCTTGTGGACTTCAGCTCCCAGAATTCTCCAGCCAGCATAGCTTTCTGGGAGTTGAAGTCCACAAATCTTAAAGCTGCCAAGTTTGGGGACCCCTGGGTTTATCCTTTCAGCCGGAAGCGCCTCAGTATTTCCGACATGAATACGGCGATGACAAAAGCCTACCAGCTCAGGACCTTAAACGGCCATGGAGGAACCATCCCTTTGCTTTCATGGTCCTCTTTGACCCGGAGTCTCCGGTTCCTAAGGGCCATCTGGGACTTGCAGAGGTCTGAGCCAAACAAATGGACCTTGTGAAACTGGGCCAAGAACTAAAGGCGAGCTGGGCTCTGAAAGAGGCTGAAAACCCGAAGGGAGGCTGATGGGAGGCAT